CGCCGCTCCAGCTCGCGCCGGCGCTGCTCGCGAGCCTGGCCGCCGCCGCCTGCTTTGTGCTTCCCCAGAAGATGGGAGCGACCTCTTCCTGATTCCGGAGCGATTTCAAAGGAGGGAGTGCGCTGTATTTCCTACGAGTGTGCAGGCGCGGGGAGGATCCTGCCACACTCCCCCAGACCAGGTAGGGTCTTACGCTGGGCGAGCAGAGGGATTGAGTCGGAGCCGCCAACTATTTTCCATTTGTGGCTCCCGAGGCTGCACGTTGAGCAAGGACCGGTGTGTGTGTGTCCGTGCGCGTGTGTCCCTACACATTTGCTGGGGTGTCCGTGCTTCTCGGGGAGTGAAATTGCTAGGGCTGGTACGTCTGGGCGTGAGTGTGCCTGTCTGCCAGTGCAGGCTGCCTGAGGAAGAAAGGGCTTGCTGAGGAGAGATGCTGCACCCCGCGCCGCGCTCGCCTCTGAGAAATCAGGGCGCGAAGAGCTCAGTCCACCCGGAATGCAGCGCTGCCGGGGACCCGGGCGTCCCCACCCACTGGGGTTCTGCTCCGCGGTCATCCCTCCTGCTGGTGATCCCTGGGGTCTTCCCCACAGGCCACCCTTGTGATTCTCTTTTCTGGCTAGCGCTGGGTGCGCCTTCCCCACGGACTGCGGAGAAGAGGGAGGTGTGGCCGGGCAGGGGGAACTAGCAGAGGAGAAATGCATCCGGGGAGGGGGCTGCGGGGTCCATTCTCCGGGCGCTCTGCCGAGGTGTGTTGGGGATTCTGCACGCAAAGGCATCTTTCCCCGAGAAATGCGAAGGCAACTTTGTAGCTGCATTATCAGTCTCTGGAGCTTTGCTCGCTCTTGGGGGAAATGGTCTGTATTCTGAGATGTGAGGATCTCCTTCTTGGCTCCTCCTTAATGAAGAAGAGGGAGGTCTTATGGGTGGACGGTAGGTGAAAGAAACCAAATCAGCCTGTGGGATGCTTTTAAAAATACAGCATGTGTACATCTCTGCTTTTAAAAATCTTCCTCCCCCTCCCCCCACCCTCTCTGTTGACTGATGAATGGCTTGGGCTGGCAATTCGTATTTCCCTCTCCAGACAAAGTGGCAGCGGTTGGGTTGAGAGCAGCGTGATCGAATTTAACAAAGAATTTTTTTTTTTTTTTTCCAAAGAGCCTTGTGCTCGGTGTCCGCAGTCACTGGAAAGTCGTCTTTGCGCTCGGCATCGGTTTAACCCCTCTTAACCTGGCTCCCTCGTTGGTACTCCTTATCGCTCTCCTGCTAGTAAACCACTAGTGGTTGTGACTATAACAGTACAAACTTTGTCCTGTTGGAGGTGTAAAGACTAAAAGAAAAAAAAGGATATCAGGAGGTGTAGTGAAGAAGGTTTTAGGAAGATGGCATATGTGGTAAAGACAGTACAGGCATCCTGATCATGGAAGAGCTGGCTGAGTAGGTGGAGACTGATCAGATTTGGTTAAAGGCGTTGCTTGAGACTCTCCAAATTTCAGCAACTGTACATCCACAATCCAGCATCTGTGTGATTTCCTAAGGGAAATAGGGAGCAACCAGGAGGGGTTGTTCTCTTTCATCCCCACCCTCCCATCCAGGACCAACTCCCAATTTTCTCTCTCTCTCTCATTTTCTCTTTCTCTCTCAAAGCTACTCCTGCAGCAGGAAAGGAGGGTGGAAAATATATCTGGATATTTCATTCATTTTAGAAAAGAAAACAAAACCCCAGACAGGAATGATTTCTTTTAGGTTCTTCTTTCCAATCCGGTGCTAGTTGGATTTAGTGTTGTGGTTTTGCCAAACTAGCTTGATTGGGAGGTTCCATGGGTGAGAAGGAAGGAGAAGGAAGGGAGACCTAGCTCCATCTTTGGGTCCTTGTGGGTGGGAAGCTGGAGGAAGACCCACTTGCTTTATCAAGAAGCAAGGTGTATTGTTTTTAATAGTTTTCATTTCATAATTTCTGCTTGCATGAAGGATTCCATTGGGATCTGAGGGCGCTTAACTAGAGTTCTCCCACCTACTATAAAAGGAACCCAGTCTCACCCCCCCCCCCAATGGCTGTTGTCTTTTATTAAAAATGAATTGGTTAATTCCTGGGGGAGGGGTTGTGGGGGGGGCAGAGAATGAACTAGACACTAGACAGAGGTAAACCACTATTAACTGTTGAGCTGTGCAGGGGTTGCACAGGATATGTGTCCATGACATCCAGACTTAATTTTCTCAGTCATGAAAGATTAACAGGACTGGAAAAGGAGAGTACAAGATTAAAAGAATCTGAGAGCTCATCTCTCTCCCCCACCCCCTATCTATCTATATTTCAGCCACTTTACTTTTACTATTTCATGGTTTCTACTGTATGATTTTGGATTAAGAACTAGGTAACCCTTTTGTTGGCCCAGAAAGGGGAGACTTAAAGCATTGCATTTGCATTGAATTCATTCCAAATAAAATCAGAAAAGGAAGGTGAAGTATATAGCCAGTCACACCTAGGACTATTCGCAGCAATTACATTAATTGTTCTTTCAAGCTTACTATGTTTTGAAAAAAGAAATTCCAAGAGAGCTTCAGCATTTGTTAGCAAGCTATATTTAACAGGTTTTTTTTATCAGACAAAAATAGTCTTTTATTTATCTTGCAAAGTAAACGTATGGTTCCTTCCCTCTAAGTACTCGATCTGTTTCTTTGACAAAATAAATGGTGATGAAAGCCCTGCACACCCCATGAAGTTACATTCCCCTTTTAAAGCCAGTTAAAGCATTCATTTAGCTCGTGGATGTAGTCCTTCCAAAGCAAGTGCATGTTAGGACTTCACCTTCTGCTTGTCATATTGCAGTTCAGTGAGATGAACTCTTTCTCCATGATGCCTTCAGGTAGAGAGACAATAGCATGAAGTAGGAAGTCAGCCATCTGTCCATCGAAACAGCATGGAAATAAACAAGATCCAAATTGAAATAGAAATTAAAGTCAGGAAACAGAAATAGATATTTAAAAGATGATCCTAGAGCTCATAGCTTGCATGGTTCATATTTTTGCAATGTGTGCATTGTTTTCAACTAAAGACTAAATTTTTGCCTTACATTCCTTAAGAACTTAGGAATCCACCCATCGTTATTTCTCTCTTCTTTCTGTGTTTTTCATTTCCCTTTTTTCTCTAAGGATAAATATCTCTTGCCAAAACATCATCCAGTGTCATCTATACTTACAGTTAGGCTCTCTCATTGCAACCTCTACCAGCCTCTCATTTGACCACACTCTCCTGCTCCCTCTTGTGGCAAATATTCTCTCTGCCTTTCCTTAGATTCCAGAGGCCCATCTCACATCACAGGGAGCTCCCTGAACCGCCTGCCACTCTGGCGCTAATTCTCAGTAGTAATTGTGGCTAACCATCCCAGTGGGTTGCTGAATGAGCTGTTTCCATTTTCCTCTTTGCAGAAGGCTGTCTCTCTCCTGGAGACATATTTGAGATTTAATGGAAGTAAATGTCAGGCTTTTTCTAACCTTTTGGGATGGTCTAGATTCTGGTTGTGAGCTTTCTGAGTCTGCCTTTGAGATTTTGATTTGGACTCAGGGAAAGTCTACTTGGGACTCATTAAGTACAGTGGGGTTATTTTCAGTTTTTTTTTTTCCTCTTCCAAGAGACACCTTTCTCCCTTCCTGTCCATCTCTTCATCGTTCCCCCTATTCCTGTCTCTGTATCTCATCCATACACACATCTCAAAGTATGTTGTACACAACTCTTAGTTTTTGAAAACTTAAACTATCAATCATTTGATTCTCAGCAGGCTCTATCAATCAAACAGCTCATCTTCAGAGCTGGAAATTCTTTGGATAAACTACTCTTGCTGCTCTGTTTTCATCAAGAGCCTTGCAGAATACAAATGAGCTCAGCTGCCTTTTCCATGTGGTCTCAGCTTGACAGAGTTGTTCATAGCCTGTGCTGCCTCAGGTGTTGCTTGTAGTTTTTTTCCTGACAACTGTATATTGAACCTCCATGTTTTATGCCTACGGTTGTGATTGTCCTTCTGTCTGCCCAGAAGTAGGGAAGACAGAGTTTCAAGAAAATGACATTTTCTCTTAACCTGGAACTTCCTACCAAATTTTAGAAGCAGAAGAAGGACATATGAGAGGGAAAGAGTCCTGATTGGCAGCTGCAGTGAACAAAATATGTTTGTGGTCAAGCACAAGTCTGTGAGCGTCAGCTGTTGCACAGTAATTGAGGAGGGTAAACACTTCCCCGTTCAATGCATTTAGCCATCGTCTAAAGGAGGGTCTGAAATTCTTAGAGATGTTTGTTTGAATAAAAGTAATTCTGGTAGATCACTAATGAAATGAGAGATCTCTAATAAAAAGCAATGATACCACTTAGAAAGAACTACTGTTTATTTTTTATAAATCATTAGCATCTGTTCACTTGTAGACTTGAACTAGTTTATCAGATCAACTAACAAAAGGTCCGGAGGGCCTGGAACACAGGGCAATGCTGAGGAAATGACAGAGATTT